AGCGTCTCCGCCAAAGATAGGGAAAGATGTAGGCCCTAGAGTCGGTCCGTCATGTCCCACGGCGTACAAGTACTGTGCTCTGCTGCTCCTAAGCTACCCCAATGGGATGTGTTCGGATGGTGCTATCAATTTACGATTGATACATAAGCATGCACGGTATCCCCTACTCGTACAGTAACAGTACTCGAGTACGACTTCATGCAGGGGCTCAGACTGGGTTTTTGGGATCTGCTCGGCTCAATGCGTGGGTACTGTGCGCGTGGGTTCTTCCCTTTCGGCGGGAAACGCCACCTCTGGAGACTCAGCCAGCCTCACGCTCCACAGGGATATGCGGTATCCGAGGACAGAGATGGAGCACTGGCACCGGTAGACTATGGGCTGTACCTTCTCTGAAGAAGGATGGGGTACGGCAATGGTAGCAAAACCTATGCGGTGAGCAGGCACTTTTGCGGTCCATAGATTGTCGAGTAGCTCCTTAGAGTTCTTCAGCAGGGGGGTTATTGTGCAGGAATGGCCTGGTCCCACGATTGTTAGGTTGGCCATTATAGTGATCAGGATAAACCATCTGACACTGCATTCTGCTCCCGGACGGACGAACCACGGTAAGGATGGAGACGGAGATTTTTTTTATTTTTATTTTTTCATTCCCCCCCGTTTCCTCTCTTCTCACACCTTTTCTCACCCCCCCTACCCCTTCCCACCCTAACATGAATACCATAAAGTGGACCACAAGTCCGATATCAGACCCCACTTCAATCGTTGTGACTGTTGATCAACCAGACCAAAGGCAGCGCAGTACAGTACACGACACCAAAACCGGGAGATTTTCCTTGGTTCCCCGTCGTTGACGCCTTCCACACCTGCAGCACAGCGGGTCCACAGAAGCCCAACCAACCTCGGCGGCGGGAATTCAGGGGGCCCTAGCGCTCTGTGTTCACTCGCCACATCCTCGATTCCCGCTTCTGGGTTAGACCATTCATTCTTGGAGCACCTCAAGTTGGAGAATGTCATGATACCGCTATCGGTATTCTACCCTAACACTTTTATTTGAGTTGCTTTTGGCCCGCCTGTGCCCTATCTGCTTCCACCACGCCGCCTTTCCATCCTGTTTCTTGTAGAGTACCGGTAAGCGAGTAAGCCTGCCATACATATCATACCCAAGAACCTTCGCTAGACATACACCTGCTCCGTGCGCCCAGATCTGGATCTCCCCGACACATTCTCAACTCCAGCACCTCTCGACCACCTGAAAACTGACTCCCGACTCTATCGTAATGAGAATTTATTTGCCCATTGGGGTACAGGGCAAGCCGCGCAATAAATGCCTATTTCTCTCCCCTCACTTATCGTGGCGTCCTCAACTGTCACCTTGCATCTATTTCTCCTTCCCACTCCTTATCCACCGGGCATGGCGATTCAGCACCCTGCAACTCTTGAACACAGGTTACGAACCACAGGTATGTGAGTTGGTACGGGTATTTTACGCAGATTTTTTTCTTATTTTCTCTTCAGCCTCACCCCATGGGACCAAGGAATTCGCAATCACTGATGGGGTACGGTACGGTACTCTGGTTGACTTCTTTCCTCTCATTGAATCTGAAGCTTGTTCTCCACATCATCTGGCTGCGCTCAGTATCTGGATTTGTTCCTTATAATCACCACTAGCTTCTTTCCTTTCCTCCATCTCACTTCAAACCCTATTCCTGTCCCTGATCCTCCATTTATTACCACTACTGCTGCTGCTAGCTTATTATCGTTATCATTGCCATTATTACCATCCATCACCTTTTTTGTGCTCGAGTGTCAAACAAAATCGCATATCTTCCAGCACATTATTCCGCTATATCTTTTTATTTTTCTCTTTCATTTTTTTCATTTCCCCCCCCCATAGATATGATACTGTACCTGATTGTCTGAGAGATTCCCTACAAAGTTCGTACCACTTCCCCTCTTCCCGCTCTCCCCCATCCAACCGGGCACTTGGGCTTCGGTTTCGCCACTGCGGATAATCCTTAGTACCTCCCCCCCATCACTCAATCCCACCACGCCCCTACCCCCGTGACGCGGCTGCGTGGAGGCTCCAAAGTTCCTAAAATTGCTTTCGGGGACTCTTACCAAGTTTTAAGTGCTCCTGGAGCAGGTCCCTAGATCCTCTCCAGAATTTCCCGCTGCCTCTCTCCCAGAGCTCCCCCCACAGAACCTACCCGGACCTCATCTGTCTATTATTTTCTTCTTTTCTCTCGCTTATCCTTTCGCACACCTCTGATCCTCTACCATTACTCCCCAAACACTTTATTCAGATATATTACCCCCACACTTTCCTAAACAAGATCTAGTCAAAACTTCTCCCTTCAATCCTAGCTCTGCTCTGAGATTCTCAACCTTGTTGCTACGGGCGGAAGGTAAAATTCCTGAACAGAATATTTCGAAAAGAGGCGAGGAAAAAAGGAAGGAAAGAAGGATAGAGAAAAAAGTGAGTATCATACCAGAATTTGCTATCACCCCAAAAAATACGATGGTCTTGTCTTAGTATTGTGTTGATGCCTCTTGAGACATATCCCTTTGTGCCTCTTCCTTTCCGCCCCACAGCTCAACTCGGCCAACTGGCTTAAAAGGAAACTGTATCTGGATCACTGCCTACAAGTTGCTATTAGTGCTCGCCAGTGGGGAGCAGGTTCAACAGTGTTTAGTTGACTGCGGGGTGCTATCACAAAGATTGTCATTCATACAACCCCCGAACTCCCACCGTTGTAATAGGAACGCGGAATATACATTGCGAGAAGCTTTTTGTGTCAAGTAGGCTCGGTACGTGGGCCGAATATCTCCTCATCCTCTTATTTTACCAATTTTTCTACCAAGATAATATTATTACAATACCTACCCATATCACCCGCCTTGATCACCATCACCGGTAACTTATTTTCTTCTTCTATTTTCCCCTCTTTAGTCCTATTCCCGTGTTCTTAAATTTTCTTTCTTTCTTTCTTTCTTTCTTTTCTTTTCTTTTCTTTTCTTTTTGTTTTTCACTTCTTCCATTTCGTGTCTGTGCTCTAAATCTTCCTTTTTTCTTTTTTCCTTCTTTTCCCAGCCGCCGGTATGTACTAATTGACCTTTTGGTCTTACATTTTTCTTCTTCTTCCTTTCTCTTTTCAATCAACTTCTTTATAGATATTGCTCAATCCGGCCATTCCGCAGGACGTGTATTTGTCTAACTAGTACATTACACTTTGCAGACACTCGAGATACCCAATGGGTGATGTGCAACCGCCTAATGAACTCACGCGCAATCTAATAGTATCATCCACGCCCCCAGGAGGATACACGGCGCAAGAGCAAACCGTTGCACCCGAACGGCAACCTCCTGCAACCCTTCCCAAGAACCCAGACCCATATACCGGTATTCCATCTCATCCTCTTGCAGGAGATATGGGAATGGCGGCTCCGTTAGTTCAGCAATCTCAGGGATACCGTCTTAATCAACCACAATACGTACAAGTTCCCCCATTATTGTCACAACGATCACATTCCACCCCACATCACCAGCCTACCCAATTCATGCACAATGGCGCACACGTTCCACAATCTTTACATCCCCACCCCCAGATGTCGCAACAAGGGACACATATTCCTCCTACCAACCAAAGATGGCAAACGGGACACTCTCCAGCAGGAATAGCATATCAATTGTCTCAACAGACGCAACAGTACCAGAGAGGTCCAGCATCACCAACCCCGAATGGCCAATATTTTGTTCCTGGATACCAACATACCTTTATCGATTCCTATGGCCAGCAATATACGCAAGTCCTCACACAGCATCGGGATCCGCAGGCCCAAGTTCAGTCGGGCTCCTGTGCAGTTTGCTATTCCTCCAGTTACCCTCCCCATCACCCGCAATCTACGGGCCCTACACAAACACAGTTCCAGCATTGGTATGGGCCTCAGATGAGCCCGTACTACCCTGTGCCTCCACAGTACATCGTGCACCAGGTTCCGGTTCAACACCTGCCGCAGCCGCCCTATAGCCAAGCTCCACCAGGCCCTTATGTTAGGCGTCATAGTTTCCCGCTGCGGCAGTTACCGCCTAAACCACGGGAGTCGGATTCGGGGACGGCCAGGACCAGCCGGTTTGCCGGGCATCCAGGAATGTCGGGTTGCGACGGTAGAGCAGCAAAAGCTGCAGCTGTGGGTTCTGGGATAGGAGCTAGTGGTAGAGAAGAAGCTGCGGTGGGTGGATATGCCGAACCTTCAGCAAGAGGCCCTGGTCAGAGCTACTGCCCCTATCCAACACTCCCTCTTCTACAACCTGCACTGTCCCAGTCTAACAGCTCAGCGGAAACTTCAGGGATTTCAACAAATGCAACGACACCCGGAGCATTAGATTCTTCTCTTTCTTCCTCATTATCACTACCTCACCCATCTCTCCCACGAGGACCTCCGCGAAAACCGAAGCAATCTGGTCATGCGCTCTGGGTAGGCAATCTGCCGACTGGGGCCCAGGTATTGGACCTGAAGGAATACTTCTCAAAGGATGCGAAGAGTGACATTGAGAGCGTCTTTTTGATATCAAAGAGTAACTGTGCCTTTGTGAACTACCGGACCGAGGAGGCCTGCAGTGAGGCAATGGCCAGATTCCATGACTCGAGGTTTCAGAACACAAAGCTGGTTTGCAGATTGAGAAGGAATTCGGCACCCTCTGCTGCTGGCGGCGCAATGGCGCTGGCTCTATCGCTAGATCCATCTGCTCAGTCTATTCAAGATGCTCAAGATGTTCAAGATAGTGGTGACGAGAAAGAGGAGGATGGGGCTGACGGGGTTAAAAGCCCTCCGGTTGGGCCGAAGGTTACCACTAGAATTGTGGGAAAGGACCGCATATTCATCGTCAAAAGCTTGACAGTGGAGGATCTGGACCTGAGTGTGCGAAACAGGATCTGGGCAACTCAAAGCCACAACGAATCTACTTTAAACCAGGCGTTCGAGGTAACTTTCCACTCTAATGCTAATTTTTTGGAACCTGCCTAGCTAATACCAATCTCGTCTTGTAGACGGCAGACAACGTCTATCTGATATTTTCAGCAAACAAGTCGGGTGAATATTATGGCTATGCTAGGATGACGTCCCCAATTCTGGACGACCCAACAGGGTTAGAATGGACTCCATCCTCACAGCCCCACGAAGACTCAGATCTGCCACGGGCGATATACACTCCTGCAACCTCGCAGGCTCCCCAGGGCCGGATAATCGACGACTCTGCGAGAGGCACTATATTCTGGGAGGCAATATCAGATGAGGAAGTTCCTGGCCCAATTGTCACTACCAACGAAGGGGAGGATAGCCGCGAGAAAGGTTCCGTTGCGGTTGCAAAGGCTTGGGGCAAGCCCTTTAGAGTTGAATGGGTTTCCACCACCCGAGTACCATTTTATCGGACGAGAGGCCTGAGGAATAGTTGGAACGCGAATAGGGAGGTAAAGATTGCCCGCGATGGGACGGAGCTGGAGGAGAATGTGGGTAGGCGGCTCATTCAGCTTTTCCATCGGAATGGGAGTGGACCTGTGACTGGGAATCAGAATACTCATATGCCCACCCTTCGAGCCATATGAAGGAAACCCTTCAGTGCTTTGGGCCTTCGTGGTCTTGTTGATGTCTCTTTTATTTCTTCTGTAGAGCTGATGGAGCGACCCTTATTAGCTCTGCCCTACTGTCCTTTCTCTCTTTCGGTCGGGATTTCTTTAGGGTAAAATGTTTTCTTCTTTCATGTCTTTCATGTCTTTCATGTCTCTTTTTAGAAAAGTGCGAGGGTATGTTTTGAGGTATGGTGCTGGTTTGGTCATGGAGCTTGAAGGTCATGTCTGGGTATTTTTACCATTTTTATAACATTTTCCCATTATTCTCGGTTAACCAAGAGGTGTGGCTACAAAGTTGCGCTTTGCCCGCTCTCGCTACGGAATCTCTTGGTCGTGGTGCTTTTCCCCTCTTATTCTAATCTGGAGCCGTACCTCATGTTAGGGCTATTACTATACCATTACCGGTGCGATACTAAAAGTGGAGGGTGCACAGTATGATACCGTAACTATGGTACAATACAATTTACCCCGGAGATTGAAATGGCAGGTATTTGTCAAGTCTCGTATGAGTTTGAGTATAGATTCACAGCCCGGGTGCGGTATCACTGGGATATTGTATCGTAGTTCTAGGATTACATCCCAGAAAAGCCACACTTACCCCAAGCTTTCTTGTTTCCCACCCAGAGCGACTCATGGTGTGAAAGACTGTGTAGCAATGTGATGTTGCACGTTACACCGTGGGTAACTTAGAGCCCCACAAGGTATCACAAACTCCAGTGTAGCACTCCTCTGTTTACTCCTTCTCCTATGATTATGATACAGTACAATAATGATACCGGTAGACTACCTGCGGGGCTGGGCTGTTCATTCAGCGAATACACGGGCGGAGGTGTGTATGTAGTGATCGAGCCGAGTTACCCACGCCAACAAAACACTCCAATATTTCTGTGTTTTTCGCATCCTGGAAAATACCTGTAACTAAGGAACTCGCTAAAGGGAGACTTCTTGTAGTGCCTTGATCACCGCTAGTTAAGTTTTCTTGTTCCGGTGATGTGCTGCGATTCCCTTAGTTACTTGCTGTGGCGCAGCGCCACACCGATCGCTCCAGGTGTAACTTAGCTACGGTAACTTAACTCTACTATTTGCCGGTTGACGGATGGAGGGGAGTGATCTTGCCTGGCTTCACTTTTGCCAGTGCGCACGCCATTTGCGTTCATTTACATCCTTAGAACACCGGCATCTTCGCTTGTAGTCTGCCTTTCGACTTATCATCTTGCTCGTTAAGTTAGAAGTTTGGTGGGTGGATACTCTCCGCTGCCCTGCCTGTTTGGGGTGCTGGAAGGAGATGGAACATTCTCGTCTTTTTCACTTCCTCTCCCTTCTTACCTTCCCTTCCCTTCCCTGCCTCTCTTTCCTGCGCTGTCCAGCTGACCTACCGTCTTCCTCCTTCCTTCACAATTGGTGCGCACACTCAAGGGGCGGCACGGTGGGCGGTTGGCAGACTTTCTGCTCACCCCGGCTTTGGAAGAAATTCGTGGAAGCCCGTGGAATTCCAGGTGGATAAGAGGTGTCGATGAGAAAGTGAATGTGTGTGAATAAATAAATGAATGAATGGGTGAGTGAGTGAGTGAATGGACGCTGGGTGACCCCAATTTTCTTCTAGAGAGCTCCATCTGCGAGAAGAGGAGAAGAGGATGGCGAGGTTTCCCGCTCCATCATTTCCCTCTCCTGTTTAGCGGTGTTTGTTTCCTCCGATCAACGCTCAACCCGCACCTCCTCCCCTACCTCTGATGGCTTGTTCGAGTATTCAGCACAGATAACCATCTAAACAAGCGGTGACCGACATGATAACATCAATAACAGAATCTCAAGTGATCCGGTTTTGGGAACTTGGTAATGGCAGTAGGTGCTAGGCCATGGGGCTCAACCAAACCTGCCTGGACTGTTGATTACCTACTGTGAAGAAGAATTTAGGTTTTCGAGAACGATCTCCCCAAGCGACCAACTGCTGAAGATGAGCCCCTCGAATACTCGGCGTTATTGCTGAGGGTCTCCTAGAACACGTGATATCGGCGGACGGACGAATCTTTTGATCCCTTGAGGGTTTCCCCTGTATTTTCTCACTACCTTCTCAAGGTATCATAGTTTTTCTTGTCCCTAGAACCTCCATCCTAGCGCCTACACGATGTTCCTAGGAGATTATTTCGTTAGTTAGGTACGATACCTAGGCTGATACCCGAAAGGTAATTAAGAAATTAATAACCAAACAGCGGTTCAGGCAGCCTTCGGTTCCCAATTTCCGTAACCACTTCTCGAACCTATGCGCTCAATATGCAGGGCTTCACTGCGTCAATGCTGAGCGTCCACCGGACGCTTTGTTACTGAGCGACCGCTACCGCTAATACTACCTGTACGATAAGGGTCTGCCTTGCTGCGGCATCTGAGACATTATTTCCCGCTGTGGGAAGCCTTGTCCGGCTTGATGCGTCGGCGGTTCCACCCTTAATTCCTAAGCTGGGAAAATATTAGCGAGGCTTTGCAGGAACGCATGTGGGTTTCGGGGGATTTATGGTGTCGTTAGCGGATGTGGACTTGATATCAACTCATCCTTGTCGAGCACCTTAGTTTCAACGAAACGCCGACTCCCAGGAGATATTCCTGGGTTCCATCCGATATGGTCAACCAGCGTAAAGCGTCAATCGACTTGCGGATAGCATATATTCTGCGGGTCCGGGTATTCCTCTCAAAATAAAAGCGAAGCAGAGGAGCTTGTGACGATGTGGAATTAAAGTGTTTGGCTCCGGTTATATTGTGTCGGTTTCGACGGGTTCTCGGGTATCTGATGTTAAATTGGCCTGCGGCGGGGGAGCTGACTCGACCAATCACGGCACTCAACCAAACTGCGCATGTTGTCTCGTCCCTGGGATCGCGTGCGGCCTCCCACTACTTCTCGAGTAGGAGTGCGGGGATGGGTGCAAGAACCGCGGTATCTGCACAGGAATCGAAGGATTCTCCTATGCCTTACGCTGTTCATCCGAGATAGTACTTAGGCTGTGATGCTTCAGCTTGGTGCCTTAGCGAATAATCTCACGGATTTCCGCAGGGAGGTAGAAAATTATCAAATTGTGCACTAGTCCCCCAGGCAGGGGAAATCCACGAAGTCAGGAGGGTGCGAATCAATGAAGCTCCGAGAATGACGAGGAAGAATACCTCCAAATGGGCGTCCCAATCAGTGGAATGAAGTCCAGTGTCCCCTATTGAGAGATCCTTTGTGTGATTCTCCAAGTTAGGGGAGCAGAATTTCTTGCGCCAGAGGGATTAGTATTATTGAAGGGGAGGTTCCGGATCGACATCAAATTGCGACCCATGGGGAAGATCGACCATCAGATTGACGTTCAGACAAAGTTTTTTTCTCCATAGCTGGGGGGGGATCCTTCTTCTCCAAATAAGACCACACTGTAGAAAACTCTCTAGACTTTGTTTGGAGTGCTTGCTTATTTATCGGCTGACTCTCGGCGAACTGTCCGAACTACCGGTCGCATTTAGGACGCGTGGCCGGGTACTCCGAAGTTGCTTTTCTTGCTCCAAGTCATCAATATATTGATGATTCGATCAATATAATTGGAGAGGGTAGCGGACCTAGCAAACAAATATTTGCGTCCCATATGAACCACAAGACACAAACGAAGCCGTGTCCATTTGCAACACCCGTTAGCTGAGAAATTCACAATTTCTCACTCGAGTGACAGCTGGTGTTGGGTAACCCAAAAGCCAGGGTGGTTGGAAATGAAAAACAATCCCACTTGGAAAGTCACAGTTAAGGTTGGGCGTTTCTACCAGATTAATCGACTGGGGTATTAAATGGCAAGATCCGGTAATAACCAGTACCGCCTACGTCAAAGCACGGGGATGCGCTTTTTTTCCCGACCAAAAAGGAAGAAGGTGGGAATGACCCGACAGATGGGTAGTGGGATGGTGGAGTGACCTTATCTGCTACGGGTAGTGTGTAACGCCGGAAGGGAAGTGAATAGGGGTAACTATTTTACTTGGGATTCAAAAATTGTTTGCAGCAAGGGGTAATTGGAAGGATTTTCCGCCAATTTGTGGAGGTTGCTTTCTTTCCCTATGTTTTTGGCGGTTTTTGGGCTGTTTGATGGTGCGGAGCCGGGTGAGTGGGGATCGGATGTACGTGCAAGTAACGTCCCCCGCCCGCCACCTGGCGAACTGAGCACAGCACAGGTGCCCCCGACTAGGTACAGTATCGCATAGATACAGTGGTCGGCAATCCACGGGTTCTATTCACTCCGGTTTAGCTACTCACTTGTCGACCTTTTTTTAGAGTCCTATCATCTAGTCTAGAAGGCCATCACAGAGCTGCCTCCACTCAACTTATAAAAGTTTCTAAATTCCAATTATTGGATATGATCCAAGATAAGCTAGCCGGGTAGCCGGAGGTAGTCTCACACTTATCCACTCACCAACACAATAGGAGAGTGCTGTAAGTAATACTTGTCATTAAAATTTATCTTAATTTGGTTCAAAGAATTGCATCCGACCTTCAAGTAGTGATTTATGAGCTCCCAGTCTCGACCCTTGGACATGATACTCCCGATTGCCTTGCCGATGGGTACCGGTGAGACATTGTGTACGGTCGTTCATCTACCCTTGCGGCTTGCTGGCTAACTACCTAACCTGGACAACCTCATTGAACGAGATTTTCAGGGATGTCATGCAGTTTTAGATGGTATCTGTGGGGAGTTGATATAATAGGAACTTGTGGCTATCATCTCAGAACCGGGATTCGCTTTGAGTGCTGTAGCCTGCCAAGTGGTTGCAATTAAGCCATCGCACATACAGCAGTTGACTGCAAGACTTATCAAAGCGAGTGATTATGAATAAATATATGCACTACTTGGCTGAGCTGCTTTGATCTCGCTATGATATTATTACAATGTCGTGGTGATAATACAGTGTACTCCGTCTTTGTTTTATTGTCATTATCATTAGCTAACTTGAAAATTTAACCTCCGAACATCCGTGTTGTTTTACCAACTGCCACCCCCCTCCCTAACCAATATTATTGTCCATTGCATCGCCATGTAGGCCAAATCCATAACCTTGCCCTATAGCAGTCGCCCACCCCACCACACTAAGACACAAGCACGGCTCACTCCGGCAATCCCACGAGTCACGCAGTGAGTAGTTCGCGTTTCCCAGCGTGTTGAAAGTGTTGGACGGGGAAGTTTTTACCTCCGGCTAGATAAGCACCCGGACACGATATCATGCATTAAACATACGGCACTCATTCGTTCCCGCAACGACATCGTTTGAGTGTCGTTTTTTTGGGCGGTGAGAGAGAGAGAAGTGATAATTTTGTGATTGGTTCTTGACATCTTGACGGGCGCGGGGGGATTTATATGTCGGTGACTGGGTGTGGGTGTTTATGCTAGCGGGTGGGATTTGGATGTTGGCTTCCGTGTGACTGTCTTAGTGAGGGGTGTTGAAGCGCTTGAACATTCATATATGTGTAGTGATGGAGTATTATAGTACTCAAATAGAGCACCAGGAATTCGGTAACACAAAACATCATAAATAGTATCATACGTTACTAGCTCATCATGACCAAATAGTTAACCACCCCACACGAAAACTGCCTTTCAGCCATCCGCTGAGACAAATAAAAGGAAAAGAAAGAAGAAAAAACATCCCATACTAGGAAGGGGAACTCCGATGTCCTACCTAGCCTGAGGTTCCATTGTTCCAGTTCTTATAGTATGTCGGCGCCTTTATTGCTTGCTTGACTTAAACTACCGTGATATCTAGCAGGGGGATCTTGAGGTCTCGAGGTATATTATAATTTCCCTACGTGGATTTTTAAGCCGGTCTTGAATCTTCATGCCTGCCCAGCTACAATTCGATGATGTAAGGTCCCGCGGGCTTTAGGCAGTGTTCCCGGCCGCCCAATCCGTCGGTTTTCGGTGTATCGTAGGATGGGAGGGAATATGGCTCATGGCCCACGGTCCGTCTTTTTGGGTGCGCTAGAAGGGGCCATTCCGGGAAGGAAAAGGCCGGACGGTTGTACGATAGAGGAGGTTGACCATAGTCCTAGCGCTTGGACCTCCGGTATCATACTAGCCAAGTTGAAATCATACCTTCAAACGAATTATTATCACATCATGAGACGTCACTCACTATTCCCGGACGTCCTTAGCCGTCCACCCGCCTGCCCTGAACAAACATGTCACACCCTGTAGGGCCCACTGTTCGGCACAAGGACGGCCTTCCCGCAATTTTACTGCCTCCGGCGGACTACACATAGCCATCCTGCCCGGTCAAGCGCTCTTGGCAGTCTCCCAGGGTGGTTGGAAGTGCTATCATAGCTTTAGGTGATAAGGTGATAGATAAATGGTGGTTGAGACCTAACATCTCGCTCCCCCATTCCACCCAGTTCACGATAAATTGTTCGTTATCGGTCTACGGAGGGGGGGGGGGTTGGCCCGAAGATAGACAGAAAGGGCCTGATATCTAATCAGGTCTTTGTGACAGCGAAATTCGCCGCACACATGGGACTCACATCCATTTTTCCACATAAGACCAACCTCCAACCTTCCTTCCTTCCAGAAACCAAGGATTACTCAAAACCTTATCACCACCTCGCTCATACCCCCCTTGCTCGGATCAAGCCTTTCTTTTTAAGCAATGGTATTCGGACATAGAGATAGGAGCGATGGGGAGGCGGCCGTGCTTAGAGCTCTCTTCGAGGATCGCAACCCGCCCCCCACTACGATGCAGCTTCTCAAAAAGTTCACGGGGTACAATAAAGTGGCCAGTCTCTTTGGACGGCAGGAGAAGAAGGAGATCGGAGAATCCGACGGGGAATTTTACGTGACCTATAATCACTTGGTTGGATTCAATTCACCTGAATTAAACCTCGACGGTATCGTGGAGGATCTCATTGATCATGTCCCTGAAGTGCATGAATTCTATATGGACCGTAGCCCGAGTACTCTCCACTACTTTCAGCTGATCACTCTACTCCTTAACGAAGTACAGGCGAACTTGGACGCGGTGGCGGGAATCAGGACCCGCGAGCCCCCGTCCCCGGAATACATCGTTCAGATTCAGGAAGATAACTCGTTCCAGTATGCTGGCATTCCATTCTGTTATAGGTAGCAGGACTAACAATTCTGCACGTCTTAGCCATAGGAACAACCTTGCCCGCGCAATGAACAGCAAGATCACTGTGACTACCATGGGTCTCCACCCGCTCTACGGTGTGAATGGTGAACCGATCAAAAAATTCCCGAAAACTGGGGCTGATATCGGAAAACTTAAAGGCAAGATGCTTGAACTACTCATTTACAAGGAGAGAGAGAGTTTGGTCTAAACATAATCATATATGCAGGCAAGAGGATCAATAAACTCCTTTTGGCTCTCGGATTGCCGACCAATGGGACCTTATCCGAGCGCAAGCAACGTTTCATGAAGTACATCGGCTTCACCACGCTTCTCAGTTTCTAGATTAGGTGCATGATTTCCCCTTAGCGCATTTACGCCTCGGGTGAGAGGGGCCTTCTTGTACTGGTTAGATTTATAGTCTTTATATAAAGTTCGTGGGTTCTTATTCGGAAATAAACCACATATTTTCCTAACTGTTTCCTCTGGCGGTTTTCCTTCTTGTTTTCAAGATGTTTTTTTTTTTTTCGGCGACTCCAGTTCAGAGAGCAATATTACAAGGATACCATAGCACTTCCCCTCGCCCCCCCCCCCAAAAAAAAATAAGAAAAATAAAAAAAGGCTCTAACAAACATTACCGATAGTGGCGAGCTTGGAAAAAGCGCCACTCTGCTCGTCCGGGGCTTACAAGTAAGTGAATTCAACCAAAACAACCATTTCGCATCTGTTAGTCGAAAAGCACCACAACCCGTTGGACATATCGCTTTTCGTCGTTTACAAAACCTTTCTTTCTCTATCTCATGCACATCACTTTCCGAGTCCTATATCATTCCTCTACGTTGGGTGGGTTGCATTCATTTCGATGACAGCGCGCGTTCTATTAGCTCTTGATTTTTTTTGACAGCCATGCCATATAAGCTGAGTATCTTTATATCTTACATACCCCTTAAGGTTTGAAGATGTATACCTGTGTGGGAGCAATGATGCGTTAACGGCTGAAGATGAGAAACACGTTTCTTCTGATGATGGTCGAGGACATTGTTGTTCTCCTTATATGTTCGGGAGGGGGGAGGGCATTAGGCTCTTCCCTTCAGTCCCTCTAGGAGTTACCGAAAGCTGTTCGAGTTGAAGTTGTCGGATGGGTTACTGTGGTTTCCCGAAAGCTTTTCTGAGTTTTTTTCACAACATAGCCCAAACTTAGCGTGTCTAGCGAGTGATAATGCATGAGCACATCAACCATGGTACAGCGCCGGTCTCAACACAGCTCCCATTGGAGACCCCACCCTCTTATCACCCAAAATGCAAAGAAAAGAAGAACCCCACCTTCACATAACGGCGCCTAACCAGCCAGCCAACCACCTACCGTACCAGGTTAAAGCACAGTGTAATCTCGCCTTAACCTTAGCTGAGGATTGTTTTCCTGCCGCCGCTGACGTTCATATCAGGCTTTGCCTTCCTGCCTGCTGCACTCTGCCGCAAGGGGGGCATTAATGCTTGGGTGTGAAAAGATATAGCATCATACTGTGACACAGTTGTCCACAATTAACACCTGGCCGGGTCTAGGACTAGCTAGCGACAATAGCTTGCAGGTAGAGGCAATATGCAGGGTTAGGGTTTTGGAGGCCTACGTGGGCGCTAAGCTTATTTTGGGTTAGTGCGACTTGAATTTTTCTTTTCTTTTCTTTTCTCTTTTTGAAAACAGGGCACTTCTGAATCTATCACCACTTGTTCTTTACAGTTGATCAACATCCGCGAGGGAAGTAAGGCCTTGATTGTACGCCGCCCTCTGATGCTTCTCCAGTCAACGCGCTTGTTCTCACTCTTCCACTGACAAACCAACCTCTCTCTCCACAGCGCAGCGCGAAAAATGTTTGCCGCTCCCCGCCTCCCCTCAACAACACTCTTCCTCTCCAACGCCCGACCTTTCTTCTTCGCCTTCACCCGCCGCCTCCACGAGTCCCTCCCACGACCGCCCATACCCCCGGTAACCAAAAGGACACCAGATGTAACTACATTCCTCAAACAAATCGGTCGGAACACAATCCAGCACGCGCCAAAGTTCGAGACGTGGGAGCAGTTCTTCTCGCTGACGTCCAAGCAACTGCGAAATTTGGGTGTTGAGCCGCCAAGGGATCGGAGGTACATCTTGCACTGGAGGGAGAGGTACAGGGTGCTTAATGGGGATGTCGTGCTCAAGGAGCATAAGAGGGGTGTTAAGGTTGATGGTGGGGAGAGGAGGCGGGCCTCGGTTTTGGCCAAGAGGAGGGCGGAGGAGCGGAAGGAGCAGAGGAAGGGTGCCCGAGATGGGGCCGATTCTGAGAAGGGGAAGTACCTTTAAGAGGGGGTCGTGTGGATGGGGTGGTCGACCTTTGTATGTTCAATGCTTTATTTCTACATTGCTTGCCTCTGCCAGTGCTCGCGGTACGGTTCGAGCCGTCGATAACAAGATCACAATCGCCAGTTATCGATAACAACTAAGTAAATACCTGAGGGAGGTGAAACTGATAATTGTGGAGCCACTGCACCTCCAAGATCTACCTGCCAGGTACTATATCTGGGATAGGAGCGGTGTTTGGAGGGCATATCTAAAAGTGCAAGGCAAGAATTCTCTATAATCCTGCAGACAGACGCCCAGACCTGTGGAACATGAATTCTGTCGAAAGCCCAGGTTACAGAGATCTGGTTGCCATTAGATGGTACGACAGTTGTACTTGTACTAGTACTTGTGCTGCACAGGTACTACACGCTGGGGTATCTGGAATACGAGCGGCAGTGTAATTCATGTCATGTCGGTTGGATTGCCTCCTCGTACCCTAAGCTTCCCCGATGATGAAACGCTTGCTCACAAACATTGTCTGCCCATGATAACTTTTGTTTGTCTGCTTGTTTGAGCGTCGCGCTTCCTACCGATTCCCTGTGCTTTAATCATTATGGGTAAAAAAAGTGTTTAAGGGCCGGATACGAATATTGCACAATGATACCCCACTTTTCTTTTCTTCAGCGCGGGGTCTCCCTCGCAAGCTTATCTACACCCGCCTGAGGGAGGAAGCAGCATAACTCATTATCAAACAGGCATAGGCTCTCAAGCCCGGCGCCTCTGCAGAACTATGCTGCCCCGGGAGTTGGCACTGTAATCATATGCTCCTCACCAATATTCAGTTACCGATCTACCGATCGCTGATAAGATTAGATTGTAGCTCGGGGAGGCCTAGGAACCTTTCAAGGATAGGATCCGGAAGGTTGCAAAGGGCGAGCAAAGAAGCAGGCGCTGCCGTAAGTGGAACCGGCATCGCTGAACTCTGCAAGTGCTTCACAAGTAGCTCGTTTCGAATCCTCTGAGTGGTTTTGCCTGGGATGGGGGAGTGATTACTTTGCGAGACATATTGCTAATCTGAGAAAGCAACCACTCAGAAAGTGGTTTTCTAGTACCATGGTCCTCATCTCGATAGGAGGCATTTCACTCGTGGGACAATTTCCCCACGGCTTATTGCTCCTTTGGCTTCACTTTATGGCGCTAACGAATCATTTAGCCCTGGCGCTTGCCAAGACTTAGCCGGTTGCTCTCTGAGGATTTGTTATTGCGATATTCGATAACATCCTCCTCCTGAAGAATCGGGATTAGGTTTCGCTAATATTGTATGAAGAAATATTCTACCGCATTAGATTTCTGGAAGGTCTTGTACCTAGGATTGGGGTTGTCGCTGTAGCACAGACTCTGTTGGTCATTAGTGTGTTGGGAGTGATTTGTCTCATCCAGCGTTTCAGGGTGGCAGGTTCCACCTCAAAAATGCAGGTCAGAGCTCTGTGATTCCACTGGGCCGTGCATTCGAATGCAATCGCCCTCATTGGGTGTTAAGATTCCAACACCATATATTCCTCACATTATGGCTCAGACCTCTCCCTTTTAAACATTTTCTTCCACCCTTTCGACCGCTATGGTATTCTGCCCAACCCCCCCATTCAACTCCTGGTGAATTCTTGGGACCGGGTCTGGTATTGCAATTTCCAGGATGCACCAAACCTGGATATAACTTGATTTATCATACCAATCTTTGAGACATCTTACGGATCTTAGGGTAGCATTTGGACATATGACTTGAAATATTTCTCCCAGGGGATTTTTTTTTTTTTTTTCCCCAGTCGAAAACTCACCTCGCCTTCTCTCTTATTCTCATCCTATTGCTTTCGCTTTGTCGTTGCGGGCTGCGCCTGGCATCCCTTCTTGTTTTTAACTTTTCAATTCACCTGCAGCGTAGGTGCTGGTTCGAGAGTAATATTTTAATACTTACCCTAACCAATACTCGGGGAGGATATCTCGCTTCTCCTCATCAAGTCGCCAGAAGCTGCACTGCTCTCGTTTATTTTATCTTTTACGCGTGATTCTGAGCTTGTTGTCAATACATCAGTGTCCAGGTCGACATTGCTGACAACGATAAATATGCTCAAATCGAAGCTCATGACACCACTCGACAGGAAGACCGACGACAGTAATCCGCCAACATTTGGAGGGAATGGGTTTAACCCTCCTCGCCCTCCATTCGCGAAGCGTCATTCGTCCACGCCATCAAATTATTCTTTGGGGAAGAAGATACAAAGACATCTTGATGCTGGAAATCCTTTGTATATCGGCTTCGATCCAGCGGATCCGCCGAGAGATAGTACATTGGTAGCGGAGGGGCAGGGGAGGGGAGGTGATACATTGGCATCCGCGGATGGGGATGAGCATGCTACTGCTAGCGGGAAAAAAAAATGGAGTCGGAGGGCAGTGAAGGTTCTATGTTGCGGGGTTCCGTTGGATGTTTGCGCGAGGATAATTCTGACAACGGGGATGATACTGGCGCTGTTATCGCTACTGTGGTCCGTCAACCGGCTCATACGTATGTTTTCCCCAACAGGTCCGTCCTGTTTTATCACGCACTCTAATCTTGGGCACATTAGAGCGGAAGGGTATAATGCATACCGACAACATAACCTTTACCTCCTATATAATAATATTCCAATGTGTTTGGGGCATCTTCTTTGGCGCAACCTGTCTCTTCGGCTTCGTCTTGATGTGGGGGAAGTGGCGCCGCTCACCGACCGCGGCCCTATTCTTCACGGTCACCTGGATCTTAGTGACCATACTCCTGCTCGTGGCATCTATCATATGGTTCTATTTCTACTTCTCCTTTCGCAACAAACAAATCATGAAATGCTATGAAAAGACTACGAGCACCGGCTCGATATTCGACCACGACGCTCCTGTTCGCCAAGCAACGCCGGAACAAATCAAGAACTGCCTTCTAAGAGTTAGAAAACAAGCGGACGGTGTACTAGTCTGGGGGGTCGTATATGCCGTAATGCTGTACGCTGCCATCATAGTTATTGTCTGGGGAGGGAGCTATAGAAGGCGACTCATGGAAATTCGGGGGTGCGAGGAGAGGGCGAAGGGCCCCGGCGAAGTCGAGAAAGTGGGGCTGTTGTTGGGGACCGCACCGCTTGGCCGACTGGCACACAGCAGGAGAGTGACTATCGGTCCGAAAAGGTCTGAGGTGGAGGGGTCACTAGCAGGAGAGGAGAAACGCAGACCAAAGAATAGAATAGTGCGCTTCTCAGGTACGGTACGAACGGGAGAAGCAGTGCTCACTTCCTCCTCGTCGCACGAGCGGCGTTGGGATCGAAAAGGAAGCGGTTCGTCGGCGGAAAGTCTAGGACTGGGAATCTCGGTCGAGGGGCAGAGTTTCGTAGGGAGCAGTTCGCAGAAGAGAAGCATGGGTATATTGGACTCAAATCGCTAGGGTATTCCGCCTTGTGTAAATATTATTATTCTTTTTTCTTTTTTCCTCTTGAAATTATTTTTTTTACCCCCCTTCTCCACTTGTTACAAGCAACAAGTCCCGAGAATGAGAATTAGGCGAATTATAGCCAATCGTATGTGCTCATCGGACAGAATTCGATGTCGAGTGCTCGGGTATTGTACCTGTTTTTCCTGTAACAAGTATCTCTATCATACAGTATTTTTCCCCTCGTCACCATCGTGGGATCCGGAAGGGTAATTCATTCATCCAATTACCTCCTCACACTCTACTTTCTTTTCCTCACCCCCTTACTCTGTTTCCAACCCCATCCACCCGCCGAGGAGCGATGTACCGGCATTTCACTCGTACCCGTACTTGTACTCTGTAGCCAATCCCAACGAATAGCTGAACTTTTTCTTCTCAAATTCCCCTTTCCTATTTCCACCATCTTACAAAGTACCTACCGCACCTGCCCATAACGGGGCCCACATTGGCAGTGTAACGCTGCAGTAGAAACCAGTTTCGTCACCTCGCCCCCACTCACCACTCACCCCCCGGAGAATACGGTAACTCTCGGTCCATGAAACATCCCCCCTTCCTCCTCGGTCCTGTGCCGAGTCTTTCGTACCTGCGTCGGGAAACAGACACAGACAGGGGGTCGTTGGTTCGCCGTTGTTGTTTGCTATTATTATTAGTTAGCCCTGTGATTGATTGGTTGGTTGTCGTGGTAACGTGACTTGACAATCATGATTATACATGCCCCTTGATCAACCAGAGGGGGGCATAATAGTTGGTGATAATGGCCCCGCCAACCGCATGTTTCGAAAAACTCCCGCTTGGTGTACAGTACTGGTACTGCACAAGTACGAAACGTCGCGTTGGAGTTTTTTTTTCTCTCCCAGCCAGTTGAGTTGTTTATTACTATATGCGCGAACGTATCATGAATCTGTTATGCTCTGTTCAGTCCTACGGTAGGGACGGACGGGAAGTAAAGTGCAGGGTTAGGTATGGGCTGTGATGGGAAATGGATGGTGGGTGGGTGGGTAAGGCTTGTCGATTTCGAAACGGATTATCGGATTTTCCGGCAAGGTCTGGCATGTCATACTGGTTCAGATCTGTTGTGCTGGGGCTCGGCTTTGCGCGAGGGTGTGGTCATGCGGGAGCACTCGGTTGTATTTCTTTCGGTATGATATGTATCGTACAGCACATTCCCAGGAGTACCGTAAGAGTGCATTTTTGGTTTGGAAGGAGGGGGGAAAAGGGGGGAAAAAGAAGACATTATCTGCCCATGATACCTCGTAAACTCCACCCCAACTGTCTCCTCTAACTCCGGCCCTAGGTGACCTTATCGCAAACCAAAGCCTACATATCACCACCCCCCACTATCCACGCAGCATGAGCCCCTATCCCCCTCCTTCAACATTGCCGCAACCTCTCCCTCCCAACCCCGCACCATCCGTCTATCCCTTTCGCTCCACCAGCCCTCGACAACAGCATTCCGTATGATCCCCCCCCCCCGCGTTATCAGGGTTCGGAAACCCTGGCCTGCCTTGGTGATAGACCAGGGAATACGCTGGTAACTCTGTAAGTCCCGCAGATGCTTGCACTGTGGCTTTACTATTCGCCACACCAAATACCTTGCCGTCACGGTCTACTTATGCCAGAGTGAGTACTGGCCGGTCCGCTCTGCCGGTTGGCGGTGGCAATCATGTGCGCACGAGTGACAAGGTG